GATTTAAAAACTAACAATTGTTATGATTTCATTGTAAAAATTTATTCACTCAACTTATAAAGATTTTTTTTGTATTTTATGTCTAACATTTTTCATCGCTCTAAAATATCCAATTTTGAGTCAGGATATCACACTAAAGCATTTTCTAAGTATATCTCAAAATCATATAATATATATATATATATATATATATATCTCTTTAAATCAAATTCTTAGAAAATTACAAGCCTAATCGAGTCTATGAAATTATGTAAGCAAGCTAGATCAAACTATTATTTCTAGTGTTGCTATTATGTATTGTCCCAAATTGATAAGAGAATGCTTTAGTAATTTTCTTTCCATCAAGATGTGTGCCAACAAAATAATAGGATTATAGATTAAAAGGATTTATTTGGCTCACAATATCCATTTTTTTCACTTATAATGTCAGTATCATAAATTTGTGAATAGAAGTAGTTCATTCCAAAAAAAAAATCATTCTTGAGTCTAAAAATGCAAGAAATTGAGAATAATATTGAGCAATCTATCTACTACTTATCAAATTGTGTATTCATGACACTTGCCATATTTGAGATAAATAATATCAAAGAAGAATTTCTATCTAAGTATTATCATAGATATGAAATTTTGAAGAAGATTGTTCCTAAAAGATAACTTAGATTTAACCAAAAAAAAGTTTATTTATTCGATGAATAACATAATACAATTTTATTCATCAATTAAACCTCATTCATTCTCAGATGAAGTCTTTGCATAACGAAGATCCCATATATTATATTTGCAGTAGTTAGCTCTATAACAAAATGTGAACTCTTAACATTTAATATTTTGAGTTCCAATATGTTGGCAAATTAATATATAATAGCTTTAGTTTGGATAATTCAATCTATCTTCAGTTTAACTATATTTATGTAAATAACTTAGAGATTACTTATTAAAAGATTGATTCTTTAACCTTCTTAATTATCATTGTCCATTTCTTCTAAGTTACCTTACTTTATTAATTTTAAAATATGAGCAACACAAAAAGACATGAAAAAAATCTCCCAAGAGGAAAATTAGTTCATATATTAAATAATAATTTCAAATTTCTAGCAACGCATAATTGATGATGTATTATCCAAATAATTGTACTAACTTATTTGTATACCTCATTGCATTAAAATTTTAGAAATTTCTTTAGAATTTATAGCTCCATTTTGTGTAGAATCTAAATCACTAATACTAATTATTCAAGATTGTTATTTTTAATTAAAAGTAATAGAATGCACCATAAGTCACATATAATTAATTGTTTGGCTTGGTATCTAGTAATCACTACAAAGTGAAACTCTTTCCACTAATTTTGGAAATTTTTAGTTTTTTTTTTTTTTTTTTTTTTTTTTTTTACTTCATACACTTTTATGTACTTTTCCATGATACAAAATCTAGAAATTTTATGATCATTTAGATTCATTGATTTCATCAAAATGTTAAATTGTAATTGTTTGATGCTCATGAAGGATATTCATGAATAATGATCACTTAGCTATGATATTTGTAATTATATTATGATCATACACAAATGAGACAAAAAAAATCATTTTATTCTCATTAATATGCTTCACTGTTGGATCAAATAGTTTTCACTTAGTTGCTTTACTATTTTTTTTTTTGTTGTAATGGTTTATTTTAAAATGTTTGCTCATCTGAAATGTGATACTATTTTTTATTTCACATAAGTTTTCATACAATTTCTCATTTCCACATTTCAATGACTTATTTCTTGTGATATATTCTTTACTAAAATAAGGTGAAGCTTTTATCATTATTTGTCCCTTCTTTCTCTTTAATTACTATTGTCCCACAATTTTGTTTGAAGTTGTTGCAATATGAACAAGAGGCTAACTTGACTAAATATTAGATTTGTATTGAGATTGAGTTTACATTATTTCGATCACAAGTCACATCATTGATTTAATAAAGAGCTAAAGATGTCTAGATATGATCATATGAGTACATGTAATTCTTACATCAGCGCCTAAGGACAATTTAGTCATCATTAGCTTAAAAGTAATTTAGTTTTTTTTATATTTTTTATTATTTAGTATATGTATACCCCTAACTCTGGTGTATATGTATCATAGGGTTCGGGCAACTACATAAAAATAACAATGTAGTTGCATTTTTTTTATCCAAAGTTAGTCACGTTAATCCATTGAAACTTCAAGATAAAACGCATACTAGAATAATGGCAGCCAAAAAGGTAGATGCACTTGAGAATAAATTAGAGAAGGAGGTAAGCCACATCAAATCTTAAATAGATGAGTTTTCTCGTCCATGAAGGAGTGCTTTAGGTTCATAGAGGGGCGGTTCGAGCTGAGATTTAATGTCCTAGAAGAAATGATGATGAAGATCACAAAATTTCACACAAAATCATCTACACTGGCTACAAGATCGAGCGCCAACATCAAGAACAGAAGCGAGAAATAACAACCAAAAAAATCGCACAATATCAAGCTTGTGTTGTTGCTTTAGGCGGATCAGAAGTTGCAGTATCAAGCGAAGGAATCAGAGGCTTTCTAGACTGGAAGCACTTGGAAGAAATGGAGCGACATTTGAATGATTAGAACAAACAAAAGCAAGTAAGATCAAGCGAAGGAGTTGAGAGTGAATTTGAGTGGCAACAACCAGATGGACTTGCAAAACATCTTAAGGTTTACGATGAGCGGTAACATGCAAATCAACACGGTGTGTGATTCAAGGCTGAATAAGATCACTTTGTAGAATTTTGGCCTATAACAGGGAACATAATCGGTGGGGCTCTGGCAAAGGGCTACATCCAACTGCGGCAGCACCTTTTGTGACTGTAGCCTTCCAAGAGAAATGCAATACAAAAGTAATGTTTGGAACAAGATAGTTGGATAAGAGCAGGGGAGTTTATAAGGGATTAATATAGACACTACATAATATTCAGAAGGGAGACAAGATGATGGTGCTCTGCAGTGACCCCAATTTGTGCAAGATGTTGGAGAAGTTGAAGACTATGACGAGGGTGATTCGGGACATAAGGCTGACATTCTTGATTGAGTTGCATAAAAGACACATGATATAGAGTTGGCAAAAATTTTGGTGATCAATGAGCTAGTGGATGAGTTGTTTGATGCTATGGTATTCTCAAAGATCGACTAGAAGTTAAAATATCATTGGATTCTTATGAAACCAAAGGAGGTGCACAAGATGACATTTCAAATTCACGAGGATCGCTACAAATTTCTGATTAAATGAAAATGGCTGTCAGATGATGATGCAACATTGGAGCCACATGATTGGATTCAACAATAGTTTTTTCCACATTGAACACAATGCGTCTTTTTTTGGTGGGTGGAGTAATGTTAACATCAGCCTAAAGGCAATTTAGTTTTGTTAGCCTATGGGCAATTCAGTCTTTTATTATTATTTATTGTCTAGTATAAGTAGTGCTAATATGTTTAGAGTTGGGTATACATGAAATGTGCACAAGATGACATTTCAAATTCATGAGAATCACTACAAATTTCTGATTAAATGAAAATTTCTGTCAGATGATATACACCATAGGAGCCACATGATTGAATTCAACAATAGATTTTTCCACATTGAACACAATGCGTCTTTTTTTGGTGGGTGGAGTAATGTTAACATCAGCCTAAAGGCAATTTAGTTTTGTTAGCCTATGGGCAATTCAGTCTTTTATTATTATTTATTGTCTAGTATAAGTAGTGCTAATATGTTTAGAGTTGGGTATACATGAAATTGTTGTGTTCAAAGTTTGGGAGAGTCTTCCTACCTCTCAAATTGGCAGATTAGAGAGATCGCCTACCTCTCGAAATGTAGGTGCTCATCTTCTATTTAATTGTGTGAGTTGTAATAATGTATTGCTTTGATTTGGGATTGGTGAAATAAAAATATTTTGTTCCCTAATGTCTATGGTAAAATCTTCTTGGTATTAGTAATCTCACTCAAAAATATATAAATTATATGGAAAATTATAAATGCACCACTCTTAAATGTAAAGATTAGCTCATTGGTGTCATACCCTACTAGTTGCAATATAGTAAGCCTACACAAGTACCCTATTAGCTATGAAATCAAATAATCTTTTGTTGAAGACAATTTAAAATTACTAATAATATCCTTTAGGGAGTACTTATGCTTTTGAAAAGGTTACAACTATGTCAAATATTCAAATCATTTTCAGGCTATTGAAGATCAAGCCAAATTCTCAGGTCTACCAACAAATGCTTAAAATGTTATAAATCAGAGGATAAAAATGTTATATATATACTCATATTTATGTTTGTTTGATCGTGACACACGCGAATACATCAATTTGGTAGCTCAAAAACATCACCTGAGTGGTTAATTTGTAAATATAAATGTTTCGGTTGGTTTGCATGTAATTATCCCAAAAATTTGTGTGGAATGGTGGTATGAATGAAAGCTATAGAATCAACAGAACCATGCTACAAGAGCCATAGCATTAAGGTGTTTGGGGGTGATGCTCGGGATATTGCTACTAATGTTGATGATGATATTAATATCAGTAATATTTAGTTTTAACTTGTATCTTACTTCGAAAGGATTCATCTCATGAGACCTGCACTATTTTATGGTGCGGAATGTTAGCCTTTAAAAGAGAAGCATGTCACGGGACCTGCACTATTTTATGGCGCGGAATGTTAGCCTTTAAAAGAGAAGCATAAAATAGAATTAAGTGTGGCTGAGATGAGAATACATGAGTGGATGAGTGGCTTGATGCGAGAGACAAAATGAAAAACGAATTTATCTGGAAAGGGTTGGTGTAGAACCAATTGCAGATAGAATTATAGAGAGCCGTCTTAGATTGTTTGCTCACATTAAACTTCGACCATTTGATGATTTGGTTAGGAGATTAAATGTTTTGATTCAACTTATGTTAAGATAAGCATATGTAGACCTAAATAAACTTTGGCATAGTATACAAAAAATGATATTAATCTGTTAGAGTTAAATGAAAATATGATGCTCAATAGGACACAATGGAGAAAAAAGATTCATGTAGATTCATGTGATTCATGTAGCCAACCCCACTTAGCGAGATAAAGGCTTGTTGTTGTTGTATATCTTTCATTTTTGATCTTGATGATAAAAAAATTGCACTAACTATTGCATGATACTCTCTTGTATTAAGAGTAAACTAAATAAAAATTATTTGTATATATAATTGTGAGTTAATTTGCTTTAAAATTGTATGGTTATAAGCTAAAGTTTCAATTTTGCATCATAACAATCAATAAACAGTGCACCTTTTATCCATTCACCCATCAAACTTCAGATTACAATAATTTGGCATATATATAGCAGTCTCTACTAGATTTTAACATAAAATTCCCACATTAAGCATAAAACAATCTTTTTCATTACAATTAAATACTCATCAAGCAAACCATACATATAGGGCTGTCAAAAAAGCTCATTGTTCGTGAACGGTTCGTCATTGAGTTCGTGTTCGATTCGTTCGATAAGTAAACAAGACGAACGTGAACATTTTTTTTTCGTTCGGTTAATTAAACGAACCAAACATGAACAGTGATGTGCTCGTTCCTATTCGAATCGTTATTGTTCAAAATATAAAATAATTTAAAATAATTATATATATATA